AGACAGAGAGAGAGACGTGTAGACAAAAACAACACGTATTACGAATTATTTTGTCTTTGTTGCAACTTAGTATGCAAAGATGCAGATAAAAGTAGAAAGTAGAGCGGCGCCTTATCTCCTCGTCCCAGAAACGCCTCGATCCCTAATCTCCATGCACTTGCCTTACATGCACTCTGCCTTTGTGTACACCGCTTTTCCACCTCCTTCCTTTTCTCCACTCCAATTAGAATTAGCATCGAGTTTGACATGCAAAACAGCGTTTGCAAATATCACAGACAGCTTGTTAATATTCAACTGCAATCCATTCGGAACAGTCCACAGTCTGCCCTTGATTGTCTAGAACCTTCATCACCAAATTGTACAATCTTCACTTTCACCTCTCTCTTGTATGTGGCAGACACGAACATGACAGACTTATTTTTACAGAGAAAAAAAAAGTGGAGTAAAATGCATTAACGTGTGTAAAGAGAGCAGAACTTTATGTAAAGACAGACAGCTTACGGAAGTGAGCATCCCATTTAGGAGTACTCAAAGACGCCGTTATAGTAAGCTGCTCTCATGAGTCTTTCAAGGTCAAAAAAGCATCTCTGCATTGCACCTCCTGGGGCTACAGACTGCAGAGTGCATGAGGAGGCCGTGCCTGGTTTAGCATTGATGAATATGATATTAGGATGGTTGTTATGACTTCTTATGAATGGTATTTATATCTGCATTTACCAGTGGCGGGGGAAGTATTCAGATCCTTTACTAAAGTAGACGTAGTTTTACTAAAGTAAAGTCAACAACACATCCTTGCTGTGAGGCAAGGAGGTTCTGGATTCTTGCGGTCATCAGGTCAACATTTTCCCTTATCAAATACTTTGGTTTATGACCTGAATGCTTACAAAACTAATGTCAGCCTCAGCTGTTGTTTCAGTGCTAATTAGCTAATGTTGGCACGCTTACATACTAAACTAAGAATGTGAACATGATAATCATCCTCAGCTCAAAGCACCTCTGTGCCAAATTACAGCTTCAGAAAGCCTCTTAGTCTTGATAATGATGGCCGGCAAGACATTAATACGTTCAAAATAAAATGAAAGAAGGTAGTGTAAGTCGTCACACTATGCCTCTGAATCACAAGTCATGCAGACAAAACTAAATAAAATGTGGGCTTAAAGAATTGCTATACAGACAACAAGTCAGCGCTTCATTGTTTCTCATCCTTTCCTGAAAGCAGATGTACCACTAAAGCAGAGATACAGATGTTACAGAACTTGGGGCAATCAGGAGTCCTGGTCACGGACGAGAAAGAGGAAATTTCAGATAACACATTTGATATTTGGCATCACTCCGACACAGCGAACACAGAAGAAAGTCCAACCAAACAGCGGGGTTACACTGCTGCAGATGCAAATCAGTCTACTTGATATGCAGCAGCAGGCTACAAAACATCAGCTATAAGCAGCAGATGATTATTACCTTGGATAAGAATCACAGAAATGACTAGCAACAGGTGACCAGCAGTACATGGCTGAGTGCATGAAGAGCAGTAAAGCAAGCTGACAAAGGAATTGTTTCTGGCGTTTAGCTGAATACGAGGAAGAGATATTGAGTGTGCCACCTGTAGCCTTGGTGTTTGTGACAATGGCCATGATGAGTTCCCCCCCCCCCCCCCATCAGGCACGAGAGCCTCGAAATCAAAGGCAACAACCAAGGTTGCCATGAAACCAATTCAGCACAAAAACACTCCAACAATAATGAAACTCAAACAAGAATGTCAACATTTCTTCACAATGCAAATCAGCAGTTTATGAAAGCGTCATATGCCAAACAACAAACATAACAAAGATGAGCTGAGCCACTCCAAGAAAAATGTATCTGTTGCAGAAGCACGATAGATAGATAGATAGATAGATAGATAGATAGATAGATAGATAGATACTATAAATACAATTAAATACTGGTTCTTTAAGTTATTAGAAAGCAGAAATGAAACACTAATATAGCAAACACACAAACAACAACTGGACAGAGCCAAGCCATGATCTCAGATGTTAGTAAAAGCAGCGCGTGGTTCGCTTATCTTGTTGAAGTAAATTGTGGTTTCTGGCATCTCAGCTCTGGTCCTGGTCTCAGTCCACAGCAGGACTGCAAACTCCACCTGATCCAGAATAATCCACGAACACGTCCCGATGTAACATGAAGTGACTGATGGTCGGCAAAGGTCGTTTATAATAAATAACGAGGGTGCGTTAGCGCCGACGTTTACAGCAGCGGCCTGTCGACTGGGAGTAAAACGTCAACAGAGAAAAGCCAGACACGCGGATGCTTAAATACGCCGCTTAATTGCGAAGGGTGCGTTTGATATATGTTAGAGGATCGCCCGCAGTGAGGGAAGGAGTATTGGAAGAAGTGTTCAGGTCATAAAGTATAAAGTAGTAGCTAATGGAAATCATTTGAGTAAATGTACTTTTAGTTATTTGCACCACTGATCGCTTGTGAAGTGAAGTTGTCTGAGTGAAATAGCCTGCAAGCTTTATTAAGCTAAAACCCCTTAAAATATCAAAGGCAACAATCATATTATGCACCAGCATTGTATATCATGTAGAAAACTCCACATGTTCTGAATTCAAACATGGACTATTTGACATTGACACAGAATTAAAGGGCACTACACTGTGCACAAATCAAGCACTGAGAGGTTTCACTCACGCTGCAGTTCCTAAGAATCTAATTTATGTCGGATACCATTTCACATCCTCACATTCCAGTGGATTAGATTTGGATTAGTTTTTTTAATATGGCTCGGATTTAGGCAAACTGGCTGAGGAATTTACCATCTGCTAACAATATGTTCAGAAAGAGATAAGTGTGTATTTCTGCTGTATGTTACTGAACTTTGTGTGAGTCATTCCTCCACTTCAGTTCACTTCAGAAAAATAAAAAAGTCGTAGAGTTTAGATTATATATTTTAATAAAATAAGTTGTTTTGTGAAAAGACATTAAAAAAACAGTTCGTGTTCATCTCCAAATCTCTCTTTCCTACAGAAAACTACTTTAACAAATACTCGGTGAACAAAGAGATGGTGCTTCACATTCTTAATTTCTATTCAGCTGCTACTTCAAGGCTGGGAGTCCTTCTGTGAAGACATGACTTTAATTTTCATGACTGATGTCAAGTGCCTCATTTGAGTTCTTTCTCACTTTAAAGGCTTTTTGTAGCATAAATCACATACTCCTTTAATATTATACGTGCAGCACTGGCAGCAAGTAGATTTAGTTTCACTTTGCTGCTAATTGAAGGGTTCTTTTTGCTCTTTATTCTACCTTTTTAACTTCTTTACCTTTGGTGTTATGATCTTTCATTTTGGAAGCCGGAGATTGCAATGAGATTTAATTGGGCAGACTACAGACACAGTGAAGCAGGGAAAAGGCAGGCTAATGGAAGAAATGGGTACCACTGAACCAAAAACATCTCACCTGCAGAAGTAGGCCTGAGAGCGTGCCGCTTTACAGAATGCTGAGCAAGCCTTCTGTTGTTTTGTTTTAGTGCATTTTACTGCTGGCAGCCTGTAGCAGGTAAACAACTAACTGAGCATGAAGAGTGAAGGCTCCAATTCTCTCACAATCAGCACTTCTCATTTGCTGATGTGGGTTTTTTTTTTGGCTCCCTTATGTACCCCAGCGGGGGCATAACACCACAGCTCATGACTCGAGATGGCTTCTGAACTGCATTTACCCTGTTTCTTATACAAGACGAACATTACATTGTTCTAAATCTAATTTTCAGCCCCAGAGTATTTTCCGGTACAACATTCGATTTTTGGTGTGTTTAATCTATATTAATTTGATATTTAATAAAATATTCATCTTTGCATGAACCTCAATAGCACAACGGATGAACTTTTAACCTTCTACACTAATGCTGGAGGCTAAATTTGTCATTTAATTTCCTCAACTCATAAGGGACCATAATTGAGAATCTGAAAGCCGCTAAGTCATTGCAGACTTCTCACACCAACAGATGAAGTTAGCACTTTATTTCCCCCAAGAGGTGTGAAACCCTTTGAAGTGAGGTCAAATTCTTGCATGTTGACATATTTTCCACAACCAAAAACGGACCAGTGCAGTGTGAAAATCCGGCAGCACAGAGGCCACTAGTGACAAATCAACATCATGACTGTGAACTTTAATGCAAATATCAGCACTGAGCATCAATAGATTAAGACAAATATCATGGAAAACTGGAGATTTAGGCATCACTTCGCTGATAACAGCTGGTAAGTCTTTCCATTATTGGTCTATGAATCATGGATTTGTCAACTGTTTCTACTATTTAACATATTGTGAATGTTTCAAAATCATTTACTTTTCATATTGAAACATTTTCTAAATGGACATTGGTAACACTGAGATGCAAAGTAAATATGGTGCACTATTGCATGAAAGAAAATATAAATGCATTTCTGAGGAACATCATTTGAAGAGAAAGAAATCCATATTTGTACTGAAGCCTGACTCACCTGACGACATGCTCAAACTCTTATGTTTCCTTGAACACAATTTTGACCTTTTTGAATCAGTTTGCGTAAAGTCAGCATCTAGTGGCATTTGGAGGAACTACAACTTCAGTCATAAAGGTATTACCTTCTGCACTTAAATGCAGGTTTCTTTTTGTGTAAACATACATTTAAAAATGAGTAAACTCAAAAAAATATACATATATATATAGTCATAAACATATATATATAAACTAACTGGGGAATCTAAATCTAAAAAGGCCCTAATTAATCCATAGTTTGGAGGTAGAAGATGATTAAATGCATTACATTTAAAGCAGTTGGAAGAATATGACAGATGTGCTGTCATCACATACAAGACAGGAACTAAATGTGTTATTCAGGCTCTCAAGAGAATCTTACAGCTTCTGAAATGTCGTGGTGCACAGCACGCTCTTGTGGTGATTTTCTGGAACTGCTATCACAAAGCTCAACAACAATCAGACCAAAAACATCACAGAAAGGCAATAATATTTTATTCAAAGATGAAGATACAGTATGTATAATAATGAATTCAAAGGCCCCGTTTTGTTGCCAAGGACCTCTCATGCTGTGACAATAGTGGTATGTGTTTAGTATGTTGGCATGCATTTAGGGGAAAGAGACCCCAAAGCTCTTAATTAAATAAATTGACACTGCTGAATGCAAAACCATGTGAGCAATAAAGGTTAACAACTTAGCCAGGCCCTTATGACAATAACTACAAGTTTAAATATTGTATGTATAAAATATTTATCTTACAGCTTTTTCTGTGGCTTGCACTGTCACCCTGCAGTCAGACCCAAACTTTCCTTCAGTTCATTCTTGTTGGTCGTTGAGGTCAAAATATTCACACCAAAGAGGAAGTACCTAAGTTGTTTTCCTCGAGGTTAAAACTTCATCTTAGTCGACAGAAGAGACTTACAGTACGACAGAATGTAAAATCCCTCATGAAATGTGTGGAAAGCAAATGAGGTAACATTTCACAGTATAACACAAATTGACACATTTTTGCAATTAATTCTCTGGCTAAATCATGGGCATTAAAAAAAAAATCATTGGCTATCATCATCGAGTTATATAATTTAGAAGTACAGTACAATCATTTTATGGAAATTTAAAGGCAGAGTGCCTGTCTCTATTTGCAGAACTCCACATTAAGCAGTACAACAATTACATCTTTTTGGAAAACACTTTGGGTAAGCAAAAAAACAAAATTAGAATCAGTCAACCACATATGCCCTCCTCTTCCAGCCACTGTAAGTGACGATGTGCCAGGGTGTACCACTGCACCATACAGAGAGAGACACGTCGTATGCATAGTACTGGTCTTAGAAAACAGACACTTCAGAGTGACATGCAAGTAGTAAGTTAAAAAAGTCCCTTTCTCGTACATTAAACACATTAGTGCTGAAGTAATCAGTGTGGAAGCATTAAATGTTATAATCAATATTGTGTCGATAGTCTATGTTGGAGACACGTCAAATTGTATCTATACTTGTACTCAAAACATAACATCAACAAAAGGAAAGAAAGTGAACAATCAACACATCAATACATAGAAAAGTACTTTATCATGAATTTGAAATATTTGCAGAGTGGCCTTCTCGCATCAAAGATGACAACACATTCTAAATTCAACTCCTCCACAGATATGTCATGCATAGTTTTGTACAAAAAAAGTCTGCAGCTGCACTATGCTTCCATCTCAAAACTCACTTCGGTAGCCAGCTCTAATAGCTCAATGAAGAACAAGTAGTTTAAAGGTTTGTTTTCTTTACGTTACCGTACTATACTTTACAAAATGAGTCATAATTCACGTTTTTCTTTTGGTGCCCTGAAAATGTTCGCTTTTCAAAATAACACCAGAAATTCTTACAATACAAAACAGAACATTCACAAATTGTAACTTGAGGTTGAATAATCATTATCTTCGGATATTTTTCAGTCTACGTACAAACATCCACTTTGAGAGGTGAAAGAAAGAAACGACACAGTGGAAACTCGGTTCCTCGGCATCACGACACACGACCTCGCTCGTCCGAATAACTGGAGAGAAACGAGCCATCGCAAACAGAATAACTTTGCACCGACACATCTGCTTTTCTCATATGCATTTGGTAGACCAGTACCTTCAATACTATATTAGTTGTAGCTCTATGAATTTAAAAAATTAAATGCAAACACCTACAAATCATATCAATATTCCCTAAAAAAGATTTACTAAAAGTACTAGCTTTGCTGAAGAAGAACATCCCCTTTCTCTAAGCTATCTTGTATACAGTAACGATGGATTTGACTGTTCACAAAGCACGAGATCACCAGTTTTTAATGCTTTCTATCGATTGCAGTAAATGGCAGCCTTCTTAAAGAGCCAGTGATACGGGGAAAATAAATTGCGTGTCTATGAGGGTGCAAATGTTTAGAAATAGCGTCTTTGCATTGGGAACGTAAACACATGCATTCAATGAAGTAAACATTTTTTCACTCCCCCCCTTTTTGTCATTTTGGGAAAACTGTACAGATTCTTCACTCTAAAATATGTTACAAAACTGGGCACTGCTACTCTTGAAGCAGAGTGAACCAGACAATCATTGTCACGAAAACCTGCTCGACTAAAGAGAACGCCGAGGTGATGGCGAAAGACAACCACCCCCCTCCCCCCGTTAACCATCACCGTCGCCTGTTCCCGTGCCCTGTATACCTGAAAGAATTGTCAAGTAAAGACAAGGAGAAACACAAGAGGCTAAAACTACATTAAAACACAAAACTGTACAATTGAAGCCTGAGACGAAGCATGCGATGACAATAAATGCATGCAGGATAAGAGGAGGAGAGTGGGTTAGGGCAATAAGAGCTGAAGACGGGTTCAATGTTCAGGAGGATTCTCTCAATGGAAAGTTCCCATGGGACAGTCACAAGTCCCACAACACCCAGACTGAGCCTTGAAAGAGAAAAATAAATCAAACTGTTGCTTTCAGATCATATTTTCTCTTTCTTTTTTCTTTTTTTCTCTGCGTCCACCACTCTTGTCCACTTCCCAGGGAATGTACACAGGTGTAGGCTGCCAGTATCAAAAACTGTGAGTAAAGGGGTGTTGTGCTGTGTGGGTACAGGCAGGCAGATACCAGCGTGCATAATCAACCCTCTGCATCAGGAAAGAGCCTCATCTTCTCCCACGTAGGGCAGGTCCACACTCCTCATGCCATCGCCGCTCTCCTGTTTCCTAAGTAACACACCAGAGACGCAGAATCAGTTACAACACCGCTGCGCGCCTGCCGTCACTCCTGTATCACAGAGCAGAGGGAGGAATTAGGTATTATCAAGCTATGTTTAGGAACTGAAAACCAACCGTTACATTGTTACAGAATGCGAGGCAGCCAGCACGAAGGAATTGCTGTTGGGCAAGTTTACACATCGTACACAAGGGGAAACTCAACAAAATCAAGAAAAGGGAGAACAAGGGCAGAGGAAAGGAACATTCTATTAAAGAAGTTAGTTATTTATGTCACGGAGAGACACAAAGAACTAATAATTTACAGGTCCTAAGGATGCTTCATGCAAGGAGATTATCAAGATAAAAGGAAGCTTTGGGCTCATGATGAACGAGCGGCTGCTACTTAAAGCGCTACTTTTGTTTTGACTGTGTCAGACAGGCTTTAATCTCATTTTTGGATATGACATTTTTTGTTATAAGTGTGGCACTGTTATATTTAGCCGCATTAGACATTAACACCAATCAACACTAAACCACAAACTTGCAGCCTCAAGTGTTGCTGCTCGACGCCTCTCTGACACAGTGTCAAACAAAACTGAGTTGCGATAGGTTGCGCAGGTGTTAATGATATTTTGTCCATCCCCATATTATTGTCAATTATTCCACAGATCAGGTGCTCAGAATTTAATAAGCTCCGGTCACTTGTCATGGCCTTGCTCAAACAAAGTTGTCAAATTTTGCTTCAACTGGCTGAAGAAGACATAAAGCTCGCAGTTTGGGAAAGGAGGGACATACTGCAATTCATGTTCAGTTGGATTTTATTTGTCCAGTAACCTGGAGCACTTTTGAGATTTGTTTGTGTGATAGAAGGTCCTTTAACTTGGAGATGATGGAAGTTAACTACCAGTAAATGTTTATTATGAACATACAATTGAATTTCAATTATCCATTTAAGAAAAGATTTTAAAAAGTGTGTGTGTAGGCCGTCAATTACAGTTCTTAGAAAGAGAGAAAATTGGAATCTGTGCATTTCTAGCTTAATTATTTAAATAACATCAATGGATATATTTGGTTATGTAGTCAGATGGGAGTTGCTGCACTACACACCCCATGCTTCACCAAAAGCGCCCTCACACATTTCCGGAGATGTTTTGTCCAAACAACTGCTGAACTAGCACAGGCTAGTTTACAAACTCAAGAGTGTTGGAGCATTAAAGCAATAATGAGGGCAAACAGCTGCTTATACCATGCCAGGGGTCTTACAGTTTACTCTCTAGACTTGCACTTAACAGCTCTACAGCAAGCAGGAGATGTCCTAAAGTTATTTACCTTCTTTGGTTACAATGAATGTAGCAGTACTTCACATTGCCTGCTCTGCCTTTCCTGCAGGGCAGGACAGGGAGAAGAGAAATAATAACATAATAACAGGATACTTGACAAACTGCTTGACAAACATGAGCTGGATATACTGTATGAGAGTATAAGAGCACCCAGCAGCTCCAAGAGAGACTATGGTAGTGACAGCACACTGCTACATGTACTGTGACTCCTGATATTACTGCAAAGCCTCTGCTAGAGATAGAGTTTAGAGTCTGTGGTGTGTCTATAAACATTCCTTACCTGAGCGTGCTGCGGTCCTCTTTACGGCCCCAATCGAAGGGGTTCCCAAAGGAGCGCTTCCTCAGCATAGTCCTCACCATGATCTGAAGAACAATAGAGAACAATAGTACACAAATCCAACAGCTATGCTCAGAAATTTCATTCGAAACAACGTTCTGTTGTAAAACAATGGTGGGGTTATTGTAACATCAACACTTTCATATTTCATAAACTTCATAAAGAGCATCATTGTTTTATAAGAAGCTATAGTTTATCGTCGTAGGACACGCATTTGGGTGTAATGCCGTGACAATGAACGACAGCAGGACAACAGATGTGGTGAATTTGTATATATATATATATATATATATGAGTAAATAAATAAATCGAAGCGACTAAATGAGTCATACAGCAGCTCTAGCACAGAGTGTAGAGAGGCTAATCAAGTAGGTGGTAGTGGGTGATACAGTGTGACTGACATATAGAAAATAAATGTAATACAAGAACTTGAAAAGTGTCTTTTACACCATACAAATGTACAGATAATTAGCAATTAATTAGCAATTCATCTGAAAAGCATTCTCAGTTATGTCTCAATAGGTGAAATCTGACAGTTGCCATGCTTCTTTCAGGGAAGCTAAATGTAAAACAAACTGTACCCAGTGATGATATTTGACTTGAACAAATCCGACCTGGACATGACTGTGTTAATGTGAGTGTTCACTAACTCACCACTGTAGCCAGGCTGGGGATGTGTTTAACAGAATTCTCCACCTCCTCTTCGGTCACCTCAATCAGCATACAACAGTTGTCATCCTCGGGAGGAAGAGGCTCAGCGCCGTGCCTCGTCACCCACGGGTGCACCTGAACGCAAATATGAGGAGAACACTGGTGTTCTTCATTTGCATCCGACACGCTTTGGCGAGACGTTTCAGTTGGTTGCAATCTGCGACTTCACCGCTAGATGTCGCCAGATCCTACACACTGCGCCCTCAAGCCCGTTCACGCAGACAATTCTTCCCTTGTTGAGGTTCTGTGTCAGGCGGTTTACTGCACTCTATGCAATTTCGAATGCATTTAAATACAAAGTAATGGAAGCCAGCAGCTTAACTAAAAGAGTCCTCACCTTAATCTTTGGGATTGATATTCTGCTCTCTGGATTCTTGTCCAGCATTTTCAGCAACACATCTTTGAGATCATCAGAGATGTCAGCACTGTTGAGACAGAATGAACCACAGCTACAGATTAAGTTACATTTCAAATCACATTTTGCAAAGGGCAGTGATTTTTGGCAAAGATTAGAGAAGCAGAGCTGACCGCTCAGGTAACTCCACAGGTTGTGTCTTGATTTTCTGATGAAGACTAACGATGCGCTCGTCCATAAATGGACACTGTGAATGAAAGAAAGACAAGCAGAATTTTTCATTCAGGAGAATCTCCAAAACAACAAACAAAAATGACAGTATCTACTGTTTCCTTTTTTTGCTAAAGCACACACTCACCACTCCAAAGACAAAGCAGTAAAGTGTCACCCCCATGGCCCAAACATCCAATGCCTTCATGGAGAAAACAAAAACATGATTTTCTTTGTTAGGAAATCGTTATTTCAGTGTATGATAGTTGAAATCCACCACTGTGCAAGCAAAATGTATTCTGTCCCTAGACAAATAAGACAACTTGAAGAGTAAATTCTACATGAACACTAAGATAAATGTATTATTCATATAGATTTAGGAACCCAAAAACAAGGGTTCATGCATTCCTGCGAATCATCCCCAGAGGGCACTACTTAGCCGACTGTTCCTTCACCTTTCCAGAGAAGTTCTTTCTGGTCTCAGAGAGTGCTTCAGGGGCGAGGAAAGCAGGCGTTCCCACTGTGCTGGTCAGGAGAGCGTCAGCCCCCTCGAACTGGTTACTGACTCCGAAGTCTGCTATCTTGATGTGTCCGTCTTCTCCCACTAACAGGTTAGACGGTTTGACGTCTCTGTGGATGATCCTCTGGTAATGTACTGTTGAAATAGAGAAAAATCATAACAAAATATTACAGAGACAGTTTACCATTTGGGGAATTCTGCTTTTGGCAAGAGATGCTGAATATTATCTCACAGTGCAACGTGTCTGCAAAGAGAGGGGGGTGTTCAGATTACATTCTTACCTTCTCAGTATTTTTATTTTCATTTGTAAACAAATCAGTTGTTGGCTTGTTGGGAAAAATAAAAATGGCGTGGACCCATGTGCAGGAATCTCTGGCACTCTGGAAGTTGGATAACGTTTCAGCTATAACATCAAACTGTATTTATTAACCTAGCCTTGTCCACTTAAGATTACACATAATTAAATAAAAATGAAGCTCCTGACAGTTTGAGCATCGCTGGTGCCGAACCCTACCTCTCTTTCTCATAGTGCTAGTCTCCTAGACGACACTTTGTGCAAAACCTCTTCTCCTGTGCTGAAGTACATTGAGAGCCACTGAGCTGATGTGAAATGAGCCTTGTGGGTGGCTAGAGTCAAGAACAGCACAGACGAAAGGACTATAAATGGCATGGAAGAATTGTAGGATGAGGGCAGATCTAGATACAAACAAGCTTCATCTTCATACCACTATTACATAAATCTAATTTAGACACTCACAGGTCTGTATATAATAGACCTTTATCTCTATAGGGGACATGGAAGAAAAGGATTACGGGCAAGTACAGCTAATTATGGGATAATAATAATATAATATATATATTGTAGTGAACAAGGCCACAGTGAGTAAAATGTGATGGCCGCAAAATGGTTTGGGGTTCATGCTCCACCATGCCGACACAGACTGAGTGGAAAAGGAGGTTTGGACGACTCACAATACTCGATTCCCCGGAGCAGATCTTTGAAGTAGAAGCGTGACTGGTCCTCACTGAAAGGTTTCTCTGTCGGCACCTCCATCACAGCCCTGAATACATAAAAACGCACACAATTAGCAATCATAACTAATGAGATTGAGCTCATTCCAGTGACACAATCATTAACATAGAAGAGGCTCAGCTTACCCTTGCTTGACCAGCTCAAACACTGAGACAGAAACACAGAGTGAAAGCTTTTCAGTTACAAGGACACAAACAAACTAAAACACTAAAACATATTTTAAGATGGGTTTCAAATACCTTTCGTGTATGCTTAATAATTGCATGACTGTGATGTGTGTGTGTGTGTGTGTGTGTGTGTGTGTGTGTTGCTCTGAAGGCTGACTGTCTGGCCACAACATACCCATGTACAGATGGTCCTCACTGGGGTCATCCAAAACCTGGCACCAAATGACAGAGAAATGGAAATGAGTGTAAACACCCACCAAGCCCCCCCCCCCCACACACACACACACACACACACTGTTTTGTATGCAGCACAAATAAATACACACGCACAGTTTTATCTTGAGTAGGCCTTATTGTTTTTGTCACTCAAATATCATGGGCCTTTTTTTGTTTTTTTACTTTGATCTAATACCTGCACTCGTTCTCCCTGAAATTAAAGCCACGTAAGTTAAAAAATAAATCAAGATCGTCAAAAAACCTACCTCTACCAGTTTCACCACATTAGAATGGTCCAGCTTTTTCAGGATGGCAATCTCTTGATAGACCCGCTCCAGGGGCCCTTTGGGCTGAGGGGGGCCCTCAGGGGCAGCCTTGGCTCCACGGGGGGGGGGTCTCCCTGACGGAGGAGAGAGGGACAACGTGGGTGACAGATGATAGAATTCGTATACAGTGTTCATGTACCACTGGAGCACTGCAAGAGACGGTGCTCTCTGCTGTTTAAAACCATCGGCCCCTGGCTCCAGACTTACGTGGGAAACCTGCCTGCCTCATCAGCCTCTTCTTGGACAAAACCTTCATTGCCTACCGGAGAAAACAGGAGATGGATTTGGACAGAGGGGGGTGACAGAGAGAGCGCCAAGTGGGCAAGAGATCCAGAGAAAATATGAACAAAGAGGTAGACAAAAGAGAAGAGTGAGACACAGCACCAGAGTGAGGTGAGGCATATCTGACAGTGAACCCACTCACACACACCCACAAACGAATATCCCAGCGCCTGTACATTTCTCTCCTCACCTTGAGCATCCTTTGTGTATTTGCGAGTGCTAACGCTGACCAGCGTCATCGGCACAAAAGGTTATCAAAGCTGGATTTACAAAAGAGCCCTGGTGAAAAATGATTGCAATGCAAACATGCGTGTAATGTTCATTCCTTCATCGTTAGCTATCAAATTAAAAAAAACACTACAGAAAACACATTTCATCGCTAAAGAAAACAGCATTTCTCATGTTTTTCCCCTTTAAAAACGATTAAACTGGAGAAGTGGAAAAACAGCAATAGACACAAAATAAAAGATGCTTTCAAACATCTAATCAAATAAATTATTTTTGGCATCTAGATCATAGAACATAAGCATTAGTTTGGCTACCTCTGCGCGTGGGTGTTGAATAATTACCGAAGCTAAACCAATCAAGGCCGTGTTGAACAAAGAGTGCAACGTGTGACAGCTACATTGTTCGGTAGATATTTCCCCCCTTCTGGGGAAATATACTTTTTTTTGAATAGCCTTATTGCCATCTGTTATTATGGCAATGATATAATCAGTGAATGTGACATGTGGTGCTTTGTCACTTGGGAGGAATAATAAAATAATCTCCATGTCATTGCCTGTCGACATCATGCAGCCTGACGGGAATTTCAGCAATAATCTTGAACAGCAGAAATCAAGCGGATGTGTTGTCACAGTATCTCAGCGAGGCACAATTAACTGGTGTCATTTTAGATTCACATGAAATCACATCAGTAAATGTCACAGAAGGGTTTGACTATTACGAGGTATGAGCTAAATCACATCTGTATTGTGCGTGCGCAACAAGAACTCACATAGTATGTGTTGTCATCCTCGTTGTAAGCCAGCTTGACGACACCATAGGAGCCCTGGTCCGGGGATAAGTAAAGAAGAACAGACGCCAGTAAAGTGAGATTGAGCAGCTGTCATTCTTCATGTGAAAATAAATTATCACACTTACAGTATGTGCCAAGCGATCTAAATAAATACAAAAACACACGAGAAACAAAAACACACACACACACACACACACACACACACACACACACACACACACA